CCTTTCCACTAGTACACAAAAGGTCCTTTTCAAGACTCAACAGGATGATGTGACATTATCCTTATGGAGCCCAAATGGCCCTGGCAATACTAGTTTACCATGCTGCTCAGCCTGTCAGTGGACAAGCTGATCACTCTCCTATCAATTCCAGTCTCCTCACTCAGAACCTTAGCCAGTAGCAGCACCCCAACCTGGAGTCCCACCACCTTCCAGCATGAAACTCCATGGCTGAACCAAGTAGAGCTCCGTGCTCAGACTCTGTTAGGGAGGTCCTGATGAGTAAGCAAGAAATTCTCCATTTGCGTGACATACCTAGCTATGTGAAAGGGTTTCTTGATTTGGTCCCTCCAGGGCATATAGGGTTGTGGGGTTTCTCATCTTCTCCTTGAAACAAAGTAGAATACTGGGACTGTTCTGTTTCTCCTTTATTAGCTAAGACACAGGTCTAATCAATGTTATGTATTGCAAAAGCAGATGGAAATGGTCCTGGATGGTGAGATGAGGTTAGATTTAACAAGAGGTCAGCAGCTTTCCTGAAATTCTAAATAATATCTTACCTATCTTGATTGCAGTGGGTAGCAAATTTAAAGCTTTAGTTGAAATATATCCAAAATGTAAAATTACAGGCTCATGTAAATGAATGCTATCCTCCCATGATGGGAAAATAGCTGAAAGTTTCAGGATATTTCTTCCTCCCACAGAATAATGTGTAGGGGCTAGATATTTTTCCAGATATTGCTTGTATGCAATAGAACACAGTACCCTGCAGAAGGCTGATTAGGAAACAATTTCTAAGAATCTTGCAAAATATACCACATTCCGAGTAACAGGATAATACTGAAATAGACATGTAAACCAGAGGTTAGTGGTCAAGGGTGAGAGGCACCTTATTCTCAAGCATTAAAGTTTGTTTATTTCGGGAGGCACCTTATTCTCAAGCATTAAAGTTTATTTCAGCGGTGGGGGAGGGAAGCCCAAAAAGCCATTTGACCAGTTATACAAGAATGAGTAATATATCTATCTCTAAAAGTATTAAGGTTAATAAAATTGGATAGTTTGTGTTCCAGGAGTGGGCCAGGTTGACGGATAAATGACAACATTGGCTCTAAACAGAATTAAGGTTATTGTAGGGGGAGTTGCAGCCTTCAGAATGGGGCAATAATAAAATGGTAGCTGTTGGCTGGGATCCATCCCAGCTCTAAAAGCAGACCTGCCAACAGCAGCAATGCAGCAGCATGGCATACAAGCAATGCCCAACTTACAACTACCTGAATTACAATCTCCCGCATTTACAACCATTTTTTTATGCGAGATAGCGCCTAACCCCACCGCAATTTATGTCCACAGCTCACATTTATGATGGCGTACGATGCAGACTCCACGCATCATCCCAAAAGAGGAAACGCACAAGGTCAGTCACACTCACCAGTCTGCAGCTGCTGCTTGAACTGCATGCGGCTCTGCCACATCTATCTTCACTGTTTAGTTATTTTTGTGCACTATTTGCACTATTCAGTTTAGTTTTCCTCCATTTCCAGAGTCAATTTTGGTATTTTTAGGATATGAAATGGGTTTCCAGGAATGGAGCTACCATTTATAACTTTCTCCCTATGGGAAATAAGGGTTCGACTTACAGTGGCTCGATTTACAACGGTTCTCCAGGAACCAATTTGGTCGTAAGTGTGGGGATCACCTGTAGTATGGTACTGCCACCCTTACTTCTGTGCTACTGCTGGTGGGGTCTGTTTTCAGAAGTAGGTACCTGGCCAACAGCAGCCACTCTCTGGCTGCTCAGCTCTGAAGACAGCACAGAAGTATAAGCAGCAGTACCATGACCTCCCTTAAAAATAATTTTGCAAGCTTGTCTCCCAGAGGCATTTTGGGTCAGGAACCCAAATTTGACAAACACTGGTGTCCCCTTGTGAAATCAGCATACAATAGAATAAAAGCACACGAGATTTCACAGTGAGAGACCTGATTACATGGTTCGTGATATATTTTTCATGACAGAATTTGGTAGGGCACTCACTACCCATATGTTATGAAGCTATGTGGAGAGCGTTCTCTCTCTCACCTTTCCTCATGTCCCATAAAAAAGATAAAATATTGGGTAAAGATAATGGTTTATCTAAAAGAACAGATGCACATGTAAATCATCCATATATTTAAGAACAAGTACTCTTAAGGGCGGAATACATTGGTAAATGAACAAGGATAAAATTTAAAACAAAATTCACGACATATATAGCAGAACCTCAGTAACCTATTTTATAGTTTATGCAAAAACTGACAGTACCTCCTCTCTTAGGGTACGTCTACACTTGCTCCCTAGTTCGAACTAGGGATGCTAATCAGGCGACCGAAATTGCTAATGAAGCGGGGATTTAAATATCCCGCGCTTCATTAGCATGACCTCGCCAGCGCGTTACTCTGCTCAACTTTCGAAAGAGGAAGTGCGTGGTGGGACGTGTTCGTTCGAACCAAACCCCTTGGTTCAAATTAACGTTACTGAGTATATTTAAATCCCCACTTCATTAGCAATTTCGGTCGCCTACATTTGCATCCCTAGTTCAAACTAGGGAGCAAGTGTAGTAGTACCCTTAAAAGATTAACAGTTAAGTGCTGTAATGAGGCCTCATGAAGTCATTTAAAACAGTGTTTTTATAATATACTATAAATATATTATTTATCTAAAATTGTCAAAATTCTTGAAGTACCTGTTCTGGCTGCTTTTTTATTTTTATTTGTTCACTTTTTCATTAATTCATGGTCAGGGTTGCCAACCGTCAGTAAATTTACGGACAATCCATAAAAAGTTAGCCAAAATTGGACATGTCCGTAAAGTCCATACAAAAATTTAGGTGTCCGTAAATTTCATAAAAGTGCAATAACATTTCAAAAAAATAGCAATTATTCTATAGCAAGTAAATCTCTTCTGTGCTGCTTTAGCCATTTTACTGAGGAGCAGCAGAAATAGGATGTTTTAGTTGTTTATTTAGCTCAATGGTTGAGATGACTTTACGTAAATCACGTGATGTTATCTACATTACCCTGCCAACTTATTCATACATCAATGTGCTGATGCTAATGACTACTTTTCACTTTTGGCCATTTATGTCATCTTAATATAAAAATTATGTCAGTAAAAAAATGTGTTCGTAAATTTTTCCCATTTTGTCCATAAATGAAATTTCTTTGGGTTGGCAACCCTGTTCATGGTATTTAGCTATGAAAATTGCAAAATGGTTCCCCAAGTCATTAATACAAATTCAAGAAGTTCTTCTGTACTTGCTCTCTAAAATATTTAATGGGTAATAAGGAAAACACTTGGCTGTTGTACATAGTTTTATTATTCATACATAGAAGTCCTCAGAAAATGTGATGTTCAATAAATAAAAAGCTGGTGTAGTATAAAATGAAAACAATACAATCAATCACAGTATAATTTTATATATAAAACCATATGAAGAATATTTCTAGTAATTTGGGTGACATTTTAACAGAAAAATGTTGACTACAAGAAATACCATTGCTTTACATTTCAGTTTCTCGTTTACTTTCAGTGCCAGCTTTCTTTTTAGCTGCTCTTTAAAAAGACAAAGACTTCCATTCAATTAATTAGTTTTGCATATGGGTAAAAGAGAAAAACTCCAAGGGCAAAATGAAACTGGAAAAAAGTGTCAAGCTACAATACAAAGACCCCCTCAAGCCAAAGGAATGTGTATGACAAGGTAGCTTAAAATGATCTGATTTCTGGGATCATGCATGTAAACTTTTAAGAGAAAAAAAGCTAAATATTAAGACATGTTTCTTGAAAGCAAGCCAAACTGTGCCACAATAGTATCATTGTTTACTCAAACCGAACCCTGTTACCACAATCAGGAACGCATTTGCTTGTTATTTCCACACACATATTCCAATGCTTTTATAATTCCGGTTAATCACTGAATTTGAGTACTCTCTTCCCAATGCAATATACAACCTTAATGAGATTGGTTTGTTTTAACTAAAGCAAAACAATATTTTAAACACATTAAGTGAGGGTTACATTTCAAAAGACCAATGGGGGGGGATTTCCACTACCAAGAGTCATATGGCTAAAACCTCAAGCAATTCTTTCAAATTTTAATGTAGCTGATAAATTTTGCTGGCTAGTGTCTTTTGCCAGTATGAGATGATGAGGAGCTGGTAGTGTAAAAAAGTCACTGTTGCCCGATTTGTCCAAAAAAATCTTTGATTTCAGAACTGTGCTATTTTCACAAATAACATTGCAGGAAAGATTTTCTAGGCCCCCAGCAACCAGGTAGTAAAGTTACCATATTTTCCGGCGTATAAGGCGACTGGGCGTATAAGACGACCCCCTAATTTTCTAGTTAAAACATAGGTTTTCGTCTTATACTCGCCATATGAGACTCCCCCCCCTTCAGAGGCCAACCGGCAGCGCCCCAGCGCCCCTCCGCCTCTGCTCCCGGTGTCCCTGGTCTGCTGGAGACGGTCCCCAGCAGACCAGAGG